CCCTGCCCCTGGCCCTGCCCCCAGCCACAGTCAGTCTGGGTGCTAAACCTGTTTCCTCCTCCAGATGCGGGAGAGGGTAGAAAGAAGCGGGCTGTCCTTTTTAACCCATCTTGGCACCCAGGGCCCGGCTTGGCGTGCAGGGTGGCGAGCAGGAGACAGGCTGCAGGAAAATCTGCGGCTGCCGCTCTGCCCCCTGGCATTTCTTCCCCGCGCGGCCCCGGTGCTGAGAGCCTCTATCCTTAGCTTCGTGGGGGACAGGGCGGGCAGGGGGAAGGACCTTTGTCAGGCTCTGGCGCTCTGCCTTCACCGTCTATGCAATAGCCAGCAAGGACCCAGAGGAAGGAGCAGCAAGAGACCCATTTAACAGGTGGGGAAACAGAGGCCCGAGAGTAAAGAAGGAGCTGGGAGTACACAGCTGTAGGTTCCTGGGTGTCACTTGGGGGTAAAGTAGCCTGGGGAGAACCAAGCTTGTTTCTGCCATCAGCCTAGAATTTTGCCTGGCTTGGCTCCTTGGTACCTTGGGTTCCTGGCTTAGGCACTAGAAGGTGACCTGGCAGGATGCGTGAGGACAGCGCCAGGGTGACTGCTGCACCTGGAAGTCCATTTGCCTCTGCCCCGCAGTGCCTGGCCCACCAAGGGAAACACTGACGAGGATCTGTCACCAGCTTGCTGCGTGACCTCAGGCAAGTCCCCTCCGCCCAGGTTCAGAACCCCCATTGGTCCAGTGAAGACCAAGTCCCCAGTGCCACCCCAGGCCTGCCACCCCTGACTCTCCTTCAGTCACACTCACCTTCCGCTCCGCGCCACAGTCCTTTTTCATCCCTTTAATGAATTCGGTCTTTCCCTTCAAGTGCTGCTCAAATTCTCCTGCGGTCATGTCCCCTTTCTCCACCAGGACGTGTGGCATGTGGGGCTCTGCAGAGATGAGATCAACTCTTGGCACTCGTCCAAGTGTGAGGGAGCTGCCAGGGGCCTGGGTCTGGGGGCAAGATCTTCACAGTGAGGGGCTCCTAGTAGGAAGAGGGGCACAGGAGCCCTGGCTGCCCAAAGCAGTGTGGGGCCGTGGGAAGACTCCTTAGCTAGGAGGCAGAAACACCTGGTGGCCATGGCTGGCCCACTGGCCCTCTCTGGGCCTCAGTTTATCCATCTGTAAAATGGGAGTGGGACTGACGGCTCTGATCTTTTCAGGTCCTGACCTTCTAGGAATCTTAAAGAGACAAAGGACTTGCTCCCTGGGTGTTCAGAGCTGCCAGGGCCTCACTGAGCTTGGGTTTCAAAGATCTTCAGCTCAGCTGGCCTGGGGACAAAGTGCCCCAGTGGGTAGACGAGACCCTGGAGCCTCTGGAGCTAGAACCGGGGCAGGAGACACTCAATTCCACAAGCTTGAGGCAAGTTTCCTAGGAGGCTGGTCTCCTCTCCTCTGCCACGCACCCCTCCCCTTTCCCTGGCTGACGGCTGGGCAAAGGGCCACCTGTCTGTGCCCCGCCGGGTCAGCACCTCCTCCGTCCCCGCAGCCCAGGGCCCTCCTGGAGCACAGTACCGCTGGGGTGGATGAGGAGCTCCACGGGCCGGTCGAAGGTGTGCCTGTTGGCCAAGGTGATAATTATGCTCTTGGCGGAGCACGCGGACGGGGCAGCGTCGGCTCGGATCTCGTGGGTGGGACTCTCTACCCCTGAGTGGCACAGAAAGGTGGGAGAGGCTCAGGAGCCCTGAGAGACAGGGGCTTGGTGGGAGGCACTGAGATGCGAGCCAGAGATGACACTCCAGCTGTGTCAGGGGCTATGAAACCATGGACAGGTCTCCTCAATTTCCCCATAGAGCCAGAGAGAGAAAATGCTGGATGCTCCATCAGCGCACACTCCACAGAACGCCTCTCAGGCCGGAGTGTCATGCTGCTCTGACAACACATTCGTTGACAGGCAGCCACATTTTCTTAAAACCTTGAGTGGGTTGGAGACGGAACTAGGAGAACAATGGCTCCCAATGCTGCCTGCATGTTGGGACTTTTAAAATACCCAACACCCAAGACATATCCCAGACCAAGAGCCCCAGAAGCTCGGGCGGGAGCTGGGTGGCAGGATTCTGGGAGATCCCTGGTGACTCTGCTGCGCAGGTGGGAACCAAGAAGCAACCTCTGGGAGGGGACCAGCAACCACTAGGCTCCCAGGGACATTTCCCAAGGAAGTTGTGGAGATGGGGTGGGGACAGCCTTGGAACCATCCTTAGGAGGCACTTGTCTTTGGGCCGTATGTTGGGGAGCAGGAAATGGGGATCCATATAGCTCTCCATACTCCAGGATGTCATCCATCTGGGCCTGTCACCTTCCCCTCCCTCCCCTTCTTTATCCCTGGCAGCTTTGGGCCTACAGCCCACCCCACCCGGGGGCCTCGAGTCCCTCTGGTGTTTGCCTGGGTCTGGGCAGCTCCCTCACCTGCAAGTGGGCATGGCCCCCGGATCTCCAGCTGGAAGCAGAACTCGTATTCCATGGGGTTGGACACCTCGGTGTCCAGGAGAGTCGCCAGGAACAACTTGTTCCAGGAGTCTGGGGCCCGGGTGCTGAAGCAATGCCTGTTTCTGCTGGGAAGGGGACCGAGAGGAGGGGGGGGGAGAGGAGAGAAGGGCGGTAGCCAGGACCAAAGTGGAAGGGGGGTGCAGCGTGAGAGGACATGGAGAGGATGGTGAGTCCCAGGCAGTCCTGGCTCCTGGGCAGCCCGGCCCTAAAGGGGGCTGCATCCTCCTGCCCAGACCCTTACTCTCCCATTCGGCCTGATCCCAGGAGAGTCTGGACTCAGACCCAGGCACTGCGACCTGGGCCAGGCTCGGTGCTCCACAGCGTTAGCGCACTGTTCTCACCAGGACCCCCAGAAGAAAGCAGCAGGACCCTCGTGTCCCCCACCTCCCACATGGGGAAAACGAGGCTCGGCCAAAGGTGCCACAGTCGGGACTGTGCAGAGCAGGCGCGCTCACCCAGTCTGTCTGGCTCCTGTTCGACTACATCACACCCTGTCTTGACTCCCTGCTCGTCTGGGAGCTGGGAGCCCTCGCACAAGCCTTGGTTTTCTCACCCATTGAATGGGGGTGAGAATGCCACAGCTGCTTTTCGTGGGCGCTTAGCAAAGTGTTTGTCCCCTGCGTAGCGCTCAAGTTTCTGGCTCCCTTTCTGTGTCATCCCCTGTCCCTACCCTATGATCTGGTCCCTCCCCACCGGCGTGCCCTCTAAGGTCTTCGATGTATGCCCTTAATTCACGTCGGTGGTGGCATTTGGTTGCGAATGCATTTTAAACTGAAAAGATTACATCCTATTATGGGGGCACCTGTTACGTCATGTGTTTTATACCATACTTGTTTGTTCCTGCCCCCACCCCCTGTCCACAGGCACCACCACCATGAAGATCCTCATCTGTTTCCCTTTTCAAACTTCTGGAGGGATTTCTCTGGGATCCCTGGATCACGGGGCATGCACTGAGTAGGGATTTGCTGCAGGCCTCTCCCACGAGCACCTCTGCTAACTCTAGCTGCCGGGATGGGCAGGAATAAGCTTACTGGGGTCACCTCAGGGGCATCAGGGCCCCTTGGGCCTCTAGTTCCTTGATCTGCCAAAGTCTTGGATGTCCCCAGCTCCGCCAGGTCCTGCCTCTCAAATTCACAAGGCGCGGTGCCTGTGGCAGTGCTTCCAAAGGTAACATACAAGCTGGTGTCCCTAGGTCTGAGACTGGCTTGTGCCTTTAGCTTCCCTATTGTGACGAGTGTCCTCACCCTAGGCTCCAAGGTCCTACACAGTCTGACTTCACATCGGCCCTCTACCTCTCTCCCTCACTCTCCCACCTGCTACGGCCCGCCTGCTGCTCACACCCCCGAGCCTGCGGCCTCAGTGCCTTCGCCTCTGCTCTTCTCTCCTGCAGGAATGCTCCTTTCTGTGCCTTCATCCCTCAGCTGTCAGCTGAAATATCACTCCTCAGGGGAGCCTGGCCTGGCCCCAGGACCCCCGGCTTGGGTCCCTCTTTTATACCCTTAGCCCAATGAATGTCTCCTTCATTGTATTTTCACATAATTAATTATGCATGCAAGTACACAGATAGTTCCACATTCGTGCCGTTATTAATTGGATAATGATCTTTCCCACCAAGTTCTGAAAAGGCAGGACCCGTGATGATTTTGGATCCCTAACACTCAGCTCAGTGTCTTAAGCGCATTAGGGAAGGAAGCATGGAAATTCTAATGCCAAGCCGTCCAAGTTCCAGAACTCCTGGCCAGTGCTCTAAAGTGAGCAGGGGAGGAGCGGTCACTCAGGGGGTGGCGGCCTCTAGTGCTGAGCCTCCCCTCCGTCTCTATCTCCATCACCCCGCACACCCTGACTTCACCCGACAGGCTCCCTGATGTCCACCTGAGACCTGACCTTTGCCCCCTTGTCCGGCCAGGGGCTCCTTACCCCTGTGCCTGTTGGTTGGAGGGGCTAGCACGCTCTGTGCAGAACTGGGGTACGGTCGGGGCGCAGACAGCAGGCAGCAGGACCCGCACGGCCCCGCTGGGCAGCGTGGGCAGCTCCGAGGAGGTGCTGATGAAGACCTTGACGTTCTCCATCGGGGCGATGGTCCCCAGGTTGACCACGAACAGGATCCGCTCCAAATCTTCATCCAAGGCCACCTTTCCCAGCGTGCAGGAAGCAGGGATGATGGACACCCCCTCTCGCAGGATGTTTCCTAAGTGCCAGGCCTGGAGTCAGCAGCTGCGCATGTGTTATCTCTAACCACCCCCCCCCCCCC